TTTTAAAATTTTAAGTACAAAAGCCTGAAAAAAGCTTGATTATCAGCCATGTCCAAATCTGGAAACAAAATAATTTCACTTTCTCCTTCCATCACAGACCTTTCCAAATATCAAATATATGATTGAGCCTTGGAAATGTTGGAGGAAGAGGCAGCCAGGCTATACCCTGTGATAACTCCTCCTGCAGAAATTTCAGTGGATGATGGTGCTTTGGGAAGAGCCAGTACTTGGTAGTCTGCAATAAAATAAGTGCAGCAAAGAAACCAGGGCCAACCTCTGAAAAGGGTACATGTACAGTATTCCTAATAGCAAACCACACTTACCAAGTCACCACAATAATGTTGCTTACCTGTGCTTATTACCTGAGCTGTTACCTGGGCTGTTTAAAGACCAATGATAACAGGAAACAAGATAACAACATATGAGAAAGGATAATAGCTAAAACCCAGACTTTCAAGTTAATTTGGCTTTGATTGGTTTTGGGGAATACCATTTAAACATTGGCTGTGTGTTAAGGTGTGTGCAGACACGATTTTTCAGTTTTCAGACGTTAAGCACAGTGTTGTCAAGATTCTTATTTAATGCACGTTGTTTTGTGATCCTGGATCAGCAAACCCTGCTAGTTTAGAGCAGATGAGCATCTGATCCTCTGAGGAATTGTTATGGGCTGCTGGATGCACCTCCAGCATTAATCGAGGTGCAGAGGTGGGGCTGAACTCTTCCGACTTGTGCGTTATCCCATGGGCTGGTTTCCTTCTGGGAGACACAGTACTGCCCTCCTCTGAGAAAAGGGCTTTTACTCGTGGAGAAGTACTACCAGGCTTACCGCTCCCTACCTCGGATCTGTAATCAAGGAGTGCCGAGCTGGGGAATCCCTGATAACCTGTGATGCTGTTCTGGGAAACCAGGGTGTACTGTGCCAGGGGAGAAGACAAGTGGGCTGAAACCAGGAGCTGATCAGCCTCCTCCAGAGTTCAAACAGACAGAGGTCCTCAGCTGTCTGAACTTGCTGTACTACAGGCAAACCCCTTTTTATTAGGAGCACTCTTTTTAACTATGTCTCTGTTGGTTGTATTTGAGTGGAAGGGCAGGTCAATGTGCTAAAACAAATTAAACTTCAATAAAATAATATAATATAATTGTTTAAGAGGTTTACAGTACCTAGATGGTAATTTTTTGGATAGGATGCTGTTTCACCAACAGAGCAGTCTCTGTTTCATGGTTCTTCTATTTGTACCTGCTTGTAAAACATTAGAATAGATAAAACAGTAATTGTAGATATTAGCATAGATATCTCAAATCTTGTTAAGCAAAACTAGGCTGAGGTACAATGTATTGCACTTAACTGAGGATGTGTTGATGATGTTTTCTGGCCTGTGTTATGCAAGAGGCCTGAGTAAAAGTTGCTGTTGGTGTAAACGACCCCTGTATTCACAATTCTGGACAACAGCAATTTATTTATTTATTTATTTATTTATTTATTTATTTATTTATTTTTACATTATGTTTTCTGCACGTTTTGAAGGCCTGCTTCTTTAAGCAGATAACTTCAAATCTCTTCTATAGCCAGACTGACACATGTATGGAGGTTTGTAGATCTGATCTGAAACAGCACAGCTGGCACTTCTCCACTGCCTAGAGAAGAGCTGCTCTGGTTTACATGTGGTGAGATGCTGGCTCTGAGCATCCAGCATGCTTCACGCTATTGGTCTGAGATTAAAATGTAGATTTTGCTGGCTGACATGGGTAGGAAGGGTGTATCTCCTGCTGGGTGTGTCTGATCAGTTATGTTTCATAGATGTTGTGTACTGCTTTTGAAAAGAGAGATAAATGGTTTACTAGTAACAAACCTGTCTCACCCCATCTAATCACCTGGAGTAAAAGCTGTTGAAAACAAATTTGCTCGTTCCTGTGTGGCAAAGTATCAACACCAAACCTAACCTTTCCCGAGAATCCAGCATCTTGTAATCACTTGCTCTTGTTGCGTCTCTTGCTGATTGTGGCCAAATATCAGTAAATAAATATCTTCCCAACCATTAAGCTGATGTATAGGTAAATGATTCAGATTTTGCATGGCCTCCTTCCCTGCCCTTCTGCCCCTAGCTGAGTAATGTACTATTCCGTGAATAGATATACTGACTTTGTAGCACTGGTACAGATGTTTCAGGTCTGCATCGGATGCCTAGCCAATTCACACACTGCTGTGTAAGAGGCAGGGCGTTACCTGTAAGCTTATCCTAAGGTGGAGTTAACACAAATCAGCTGACTTTATTTCAGGTTACAGAAAAGTAACGCTAGAGTGAGGATAAAAAAACAAAGCACCAAGTTTTTCCTATTCGTCTGCACAGCTGTGGGGTTGGATGGCCTAGCACTTTTAGCATGATGAATATTCACGTTTGGGGGATGTAAATTCTGGACCTCGGCCTTTCTGCCACTGCCACTTGCTGACTGGTGACAAAGGTGGTGGACCTGTCACAGTGCTGTCAGAGTAGTGGTCTAAAACGGGCTGTGGAGTGTGTCCTGCCACCTGCTAGCTGTACCCTGGCTACTGCTTGGTGGGTTTCACAGAGGACTTCTCCCACTGCTGCTAAGGAAATCCGAAGGCTCTCAAGTATTGGTTTTCCAGCCATGTGCCTTCCCTGGTGCTGGGCCTTGGAGCTGCTCTGAGGGAGGTCCAGAACTCCAGCTCAGGACAAAGAATTGGGAAAAGCAGCTTGAAACGAAGCAGTAAGTCGTCCCCTTCCCACTCCATCCATCCCCTCCGGACAGGCTGAAAGGAGGGCAAAGTCAGCAGAGGATGGTGCTGAGTAGGCAGTTTTGGAGGTAAAGAATTCCTGTCTGACTGCATGTTGACAAGTATCAGATAAAGTAATTGTCTGTGACTTGACAATGAACCCTACATAATGTGGGGAAGGGAAGGAGGACTTCTGGCATGGTGGATGCTGTGCACTCACCTGACATCATCTTGGAGAGTATTCAGGAGCAGGGTAACAATAGCGCATTATTCCTTTAGGGAAAGGAAAAGAGGAACGTGGCGAGCTCTGTAAGAAGCCATCAGGTAGAAATCTAACGAGGTATCTGAAAGCTGTGGATGGGGATAGCAGTGTTTCATTTTTCTTTTTATTACACTTGACAGAATTAAAGGGAAGAGTAGTTGGTGCATGGGCGCAGCTGATGAGCTATGCCTCTTTGAAGAAATGGGCTAGTATGTTCGGGCTTGGAGAGGCTCCATCTTGCTCATGCTTTCTTTGCTCTCACACACCCAGTACTTACTGTCAGAAGCTCCTATTCGCTGTTCAGCCTCTTTTTTTTTTTTTTTTTTTCTTTCTTATACAATTACTGCTAAATCTAGTGAGTAATTACTATTAGGTCAGAGCGAAAGTTGTTGGTCGCATCTCTCATAGAGGTGCTGAACAGGGATTAATCAAGAGAACAACTGAGCTCCAGAAAATTCCCCATAACTAATCCATGTATGTCCATACACATATTATATGGGCAATTTCTACAACAATGCAGATATCTTTTCTTTACTCATATATATTTGACTTGCAGCTTTGCTTCTGCCATTGTCTTATGATATTGTGACTTGGAAAAAGAGTGCATGGGGCAGGACAGCTCACTGGGAGATCAGGAAGGAGAACCCTACAAAATCAGATTAAACCAGCTCTGAAGAATGAACAGTGGGAAGGTGGCAGTTAATTCTTAGTGTCTGGCTTAGCACATACCTTCACAAAACCTCTATGTGCATGTTAGCAGAGTGACTCTATAGGCAAAAATCTAGCTTATATACAAAGCACATAGCAGACTTTCCATGTACAATTCAATTAATTCGATTAGCTGATTTCATGATTGATTCATCAGAGGGAAGTCTATTTACTAAATCAACCTGGGTAAATATGATTGATTGCCTTGTCTGCTCCTGTAATTTCATTGTTAACATTGTTATTTCAGATACGTGATTTCACATATCAGAAAGGATGGAAAGACTATAGGAAGGAAGTGACTGTTTCAGTAAGATTTTCATCAGATGTACATAAAAGTAGAAGAGTTAAGAACCATATTTACCACTTAAGAGACTAAGGAAACACTCGTTATATAAAAAATGTAAATTCCTATATACCAACTGTTATTTAGCAGTCTTATTATTACGAGTTATATAAACTCTGGGATGAAGTCATATAAGGAATATTTCCTCATATTTCGTAATTTTTTACACTGAACTGTATAATGTATGGATGCATTCTGCATTTCCAAAACATTAATTAAATCACATTAAGTAAACTGTATATTTTGGGAGGCAAAATTTAACTTGAGTAATGCATAATAGCCATTATGTTCATTTCATTATTTAGAAAATGCTCCTGTCATAAAACTCTTTTGGTAGTACCCATAAAAGAACTATAGAGTATGTCTTGGCAATTTGACTGCAAAAGCACTAAACAGTCTATATCCACTCCCTCCCAACCCCCCCCCAAAAAAAAAAAAAAAAAAAAAAAAAGGAAAAGTGCAGTGCTCCTATAAAAAAATAACATTAACAAATAGCCAAATTTTGTAACGTATCCTGAGGCTGAAAATTTTAATTTTTTTTTTTTCAGTGAAAAGAAGATAGCCAGTGCTCACCAGCAGCCTATGTTAGTTTTCTGTCTCCAAAACTGTTCCTGCTTTCAATGGCTCTCAACTCATGTTCCAAACAGGCATGTTACTGTCTAAATGAAGGAAATAAAGGACATGGATGATGCACTCCGCCAGGGAAAACTGGTATCTTGAATATATTCAGGAATGGCTTTGAAGTGACAGGAGTCTGTAGAGCATGTATAACACATGGTCCACATGAGAGGCTTTTAGAGAAGTTTCTACACAACTGCCGAGCTGAAAACAGTGGTGAAACTGGGGAAGGGAGGTCTCTTATTCTTATTAGAAAAAGGTAAATATTATGTCCATGTTTAAGCAAGGCAAGAAGGAGGACCTGGGAGGGGGAACAGTAGACGAGTCAAGCTCACCTCAGTCCCTGGAAAGATCATGGACCATGTCCTCTTGGAAACATTTCCAGTCATGTATGGATGTGAAGGTAATCGGGAACATTCAGTGCAGATTTACCAAGGGCAAATCCTCCTTGACAAACCTGGCTACAGTCCGTGCTGAAATGACAGCCTGTACTGATGAGAGGAGAGTGCTGGCTGGAGGATATATTGACTTTAGTGAGGATTTTGCCCCTGTCAGAAGCAGGTGAGAAAACTAAACTCCTCTCAGAGATGGCAGATGATGCAACACAGGGCTATAGCCACAAATTGAAGGTTTGGAATGGACGTTACAAAAAATAGGGCTTGGTTTCCACTAGGAAGATAGTACAGCACTGGAAGTTACCTGGAGAGGCTGTGGAGCCTCAGTCCTTGGATGTTTCCAGGACTCGACAAGACAAAGTCACAGCTGACCTGATCAACCAGAGCTGGCAGCTGCCCACTTCCAGGGAAAGGCTGGAGTTGGTGACCTTCACAGCCCTCTTCCAAACCAGTATTTCTGTGACTGTGTGTTTGCCGCTGGGCTTCCAGCAACACTTCAGCGAAGTGAGCAGTGAGCTACTCCAAGCATGGCATACCAAGCTTTATGCCTTCGTGTGATACAGGTAATGACTCTTGCTTGGACTTTGGCCCTGCTAATGCAATTGTGTCATTTCTGGCTGTGCTTCAGTAACGTTTTGTGTGGGAGTACAAACTGCTGAAGATTGCTGTGTTGGACTGAGGATGGAATTTATACACCGGCTGAACAAGGAAAGCAGTTGTGGCTCCCTTTTACCGTAAGTTATAAACCACAGTGTTCAAGGGCAAGTGGGCTTCATCAAGTCATCTCCATCATCGGGCCAGTGCCACCTCCCAGGGAGCAGGAAAGGGCAAGGCTGCATGGAGCATCCATCCCTGCCTGGCTCCTTCCGTCCCCTCCTGGCCATGGTGCCTGCACCAGCACGCTGTGCACACCACTGTGTACGGCCAGCAAGGGCCTGGGAGATTACATGAAACCCAATGTCCAGGTGTGCCTTGTAGGTTGGTTTGGGCAACATAATTCCCTTTGCTTGGGGAAAGCCATAAGGTGACAACGCAGCAAACAGGAAATGAATCACCAGTTTTCGGCACGGATCTCAAACAGTATTTGCGCTATTTAATTTTGCCTGAGAAGCTGCTTACAAAATTAACAACAACAACCAAAATATTTTGTGCTTTCACCTTTGAAGAGATACAAATGTACATTTTAGATTGCCCAGATACTGCCTTCATTGCGTTGTTTACTGCAACACACAATGTCTTACTCTGTCTGACTAACTTTCCTTACAGATCCTGCCAAGCACAAATTAGGTCAACCTAAGCAGCAGTATGAAATGTAATTAGCCAAAACTTTCTTAATTAGTTCTGTGATTCAGGGTGTGGAGAGCTTAGCTCACAGCGAAACCGGGGCAGGGCAAGTTGGTAGAGAGAGACTCTTCCTAACGAGAGGTGGATCTAACGCTGGATACCTGCCTAATATCTTTGAAATGTTGATTGCGATGTTTTATGGCCATAGCGAGGACTGTAATTTGTGCCTGTAGGGTGCTATGTGCTGCACTAATACATTGCAATAAAACAGCAAACAACAAGCTAATCATCCTTATAGACAACACCTTCTTGTGACTGGAATCAGCGATTCTAGGTCTTCGGGCACTCTACCAGAATCACAAAAAAAGCCGAGACTACCTTTATGTCAAAGACAGAGGGGATGCTTACCTATATTTTTTTTTCATGTTTGCTGCTGCTTTGCTGCCCATCGCACCCTCAGCCTGAGTATTTGCCCTGCTGGCAGGCTGGCTGTTGGATCACCCCACTCCTGAAGTAAATGGCTAAATACAGCACTTGTGGGCACAGGCTAACAGAAATCTACCAGGGCTGATATGGAAAAATACACACAGGGACAGCCTTTAAATCTTCAAGGAGCAGTGATTTTTGCACTGGCTGCATATGAACCAAGCCGTGTCTGAAGGCAGTCTAGCTATGTTCCTGCAGTACTGCACCCAAGCTACTAAACTCCGGAGAGAGGTATGATAATAGGATCATATGTGCAAATTAACATTCCCACTGGGTGAAATCATTACAGCGCAAAGTACATCCCACGTCTACATATAAGTAAAACCCTTCACAAAGTTTTAAAATGTAGTCTAAGTGTGGTATAAACATTGTGCTGATCAGCCACACAAAGGTTTTTGCCTAGTGTTGCCATCACGAGAATTGCATTTTAGCAGGAAAATTCACATCATTTCCAGGACAAAAAACACCCATTTAAGTACCCTGTACTTAAATCTCATTATCTGGACAGAACAGCATGTCTCAGGGTTTGATGTGGTTCTTATATAGGTATGATTTACTGAAAAAAATGTTATAATATGCTAGGTATTGTACAGCATTCATGCTTGCATTCATTCAAAAGCGGAGAAGGTAACTATTTTAATAAGCGCTATGCAAGAGCAAAGCAAATCTGATAATAAAACTCTATTTGTTGATAAGTTGATATATTGTTACATCAGTAAAGAAATAAAAATGTTACTCAAGCTCATTACCTAGATGGTAACTTATTTGGACTTATTTTAGTTTTGTGTAAGGCCTATAGCCACAGCCACTGGATGTTTGTCATAGAAGGTAAATGTGTGTGCGCTTTTATAAACTGGCATTGTTTGAATTTATCAGTGACTTCTGTGCATGTGCCTAGAAAGGATGAATGTTTATAACTTAGGATAAAATATCTTAGGTGTATGTTTAAATATCCTGATAACAAAGGCCTGATTTTCAGATGCTGTAGAAGTGTACATGTACTTCTGAAACAAGTGATGTGCATTGTGTCCCTCAGAATCTCTTGCTGATCTCTGTTCAGATGGGAAACAGTTGCTTTCCTAGACTTTCAGCATTCATTTGTAGCTGAAAAAGAAACTTCAGAGAGGGAATGGGATCTTACTATAAGGTCTGGGCTGAAGCCTCATCGTGCCCTGGTAGGTAATATAGAAAGAGTTCTGCTAAGAGTTCTGTTCAAAGACTTTCAGTGACTTGAACAGTGATTAAAACAGAGACATTGGAAAGAAATAGTGAAACCACATTCTGAGCATTTATAAAGAAAAATAACATAAAGGCCTAGTTAAGAAATGCTCACGAAAAGGCCAGTGTTAATAGCTAGCTTTCAGTGACCTCACTCATTATGACCTACTTTCTAACAGTCTGGAAACCTGTAAAAATGTGATTACTTCTGCAAGATCTGGTAGGCATTGTTTTTTCAAGTTAGTGAAAAATATTTTAAGGAAAATGCTAGATAGTTGGGCAAAAGTAGGTTGTCCTCTGAATACTTCATTTAAAAATGCATCCTTACTTCTGACTTTAACATTTTTTCATTTTGCTGTGTAGACATAAATACATCAAAGTCAACCTCCTTTTCTAAATTAATATTCCTTCTATAGTTTTATCGCTGACAGTAAAGTTATCTTGGCCTTCACAGAAATGCTTAAATGCCTACTTTTTATAACAGGACTGTCAGCTAATCCCAAGCACACAAGCAAACGTTTCACTTGGGAACCAAACCCATTTCTATTGAGATCATTGTCAGTTTTGTGCTCATAATATATTCACTTTGCTCTCTATGTAAAAGTGCTTATCAGGTCTGTAATAACACTGTTAAAACAGAGTACATCATACACCGAGAAACAAAGGGCTTAAGTTCTCATGTTGACAGCCTTTCTGTATGAGTGCAAAAATCAATCCTTCCTCAAATCGAGGATTAGCCAACTACACAACAATGATCAGTTTTGTAACACATAATATATATGTGTCAAATCTAATAACAGAAGTCTGCCTAAATAAAAGAATGTGTTCAAAAAGATTAGTGGATTATTGCGGGCTCTCACAGTCTGATGCCACTCAATGCTTCTTGGATGGCTTTTAGCATGTCTCAGCTCCTGCCAGTCCACATGTGCTTCTTAAGCATGGAAAATAATGCAGGAACTTAGAGAGTGGTGCTGATGGTTTGAACAAGATGGCTATCTGGTGAGCTGGCAACATGAAAGGCTTGATCACATTTCCTATTTTGTTGTGGAAACTGGTGCAATGGCAGTGTTCCTGCCTTCCTCCGCTATTTGCACTATGGCTCCAATGGCCTGATTTTACTTACTTGGAAAAGTGGATCAATAAGCTTCTAAATGATGAGGAGTATCTAGCTTGTGTGATAACATCACCCACAGCACACTCAGGTGCTGAGATACTTCTCCTGAAGTATCCAAACTAGCTCCTCAGCTATAATTTTTCCCCTTATTCTGGAACTGCAAGTTAACACCCTAAAATACTAATTTCTTTCAAAGCCTCTTGGGAATTTTCATTCAAGAAAAATTCCAGGATGTTTATCATAAACTACAATACTCAGTATTTCTGTTAATGCTGCAAGCCAGTTTCACAGTTCAAGGGACAACTCTGTCAGACAACTCATGTCTGGTATTACATATTAATGTTATACTGGTCATAAAGAAATATTGTTTGATTAAGTGCTTGAATAAAGCCATGCAATTGTTCCTCAGCAGAAGTAACTGCACAGCTGTTGCCAAGATGATTCAAGCTCGTCCATCACACTGCAGTATGTTCCCACTATTCATAGCATTTCTGTGAAACTGCACAGGACAGATATATAGCTTGTAAAAATTTCAGTGCATGAGACAAATTCCTCTCATCTCCTGTGCAGCATCATTCACTGCCAAGATGTGCCTGTGACAGGTGCAATCCCACAGAGTCAGATTCAGATATGTTTTCCTAGTCCTTTTTTTTTTTTTTTTTTAATTTCTGCATATAACATGTACTACTCTACCTTTCTGAGAAGCAGGTGTGTTATTATTTTCTGCTAAAACTTCAAAGTCTAAACGTGTTGCAGAGAACCTCCAGACTGTTTGCAGTAGGCCTTTGTAGCTTGTCTTGATCTAAAACCACCACTGCTGCAACTTCAGTGTCAGCTTCTGTCTTGGAAACCACTATTGCATCAGGTGGTGGTGGGATGATTTTTTCTTTCTTTCTACTCCCATAAGCAATTAGTCGATAATTAAATTTATTTAAATGTTGCTTTCCAAATTATAGGTTACTAAGATCAGG